ATGCACTTGACGCACATTGAAATTTTTTTAAAAGATATTTCGTATAAACATTTTAAATCGCGTTTCTGAATACTTGTAAATATTTTTTCTTCAAAAACTTTTATCTGTCTTCTGTTGTCGGCTTTGTAAAATTATTTTGTTCATTTAGCTTTTTATTAGTGAATAATAAAAAGATATAAGCGGTAATATAATAATAGGTACTCGACTTCCTGTTCATTGAAGGCCAATGACATCATGACGAATGATATCACTCGTCTTAATTAAATGGACATTGCAGAGATACTAGTATGTGAAAAAAAATGGGGTCAACTTATAACATGGACAGGACAAGGAAAAATATGGTCTCTTTCGACAATAATGGGTACTGTGACGTTATGCACTTAACATTTAAAATTGGATTGAGACTGGCAACTTTTGTATTATTCGCAACGCCATGCTGTCCAGTCAGACGACCAAACGCGCCTTTAATTCTGAAGAGTGCACTAATGGAAATACAACGTATAATATTATGTTTTCATGAATACTGGGCCTAAGTTACTCTTTTGGACTCCAGGTAATATACATTGATATAAAAATCAACATGTTAAGAACTATTAAGTCACATTTTTCTTGCATGGGCTACCTGCATTTCACCATTACTCTTACACGTTGTATGATCGCTGTGCTTGCTGATATATAAAATGTAATCAGTATAATTTAAACAACCTGGTATACTCTGCTGTTCAGATTTAAATCCACAAGACATATTGCAACGGTCAGAACATTCTTTTCCGTAAAATCCATATGGGCATTCTGCAAAAATTAAATTATAACAATGCAAAAGCTTAACATTCATGAAAAAACTTACAAATACAAAACTTTCAGATAGAAAATACGTAAAAATACAAAGTTGTGTACATGTAACATTTTTACAGCAGAACCTTTGTCACATGTCAATCCCATCGATCCTTCATCACAACCTCCAATACAATATCCGGTCACGTGATCACAATCAGTCATGTCTTTGCAATTTCCACAAGATGAGTTACATTGGTATCCATATGTTCCATTTGGACATTCTTTATCAATTAAAGAAATTTCATAAAATTCACTAATTCAATTTATTTGTAATGTAGATCCCCCCTTTCCTGCCAACAATGCTACCAAAAATTTATTGCATTACGCAGCACTGTTGAGGCATACTATAAAGAACGGGAAATAAACGAGTACCAACAGAAACCCTTTTGACAGTATATATTGTCGTGGGTACAATATGTACTGTAGTACAATATGTACTGTACTTACCCTCACTGCACATTTTGTCGTACAGCGGTAATTATTGTCGCCAGCGACAATATCTGTAGAGACCTGGCTTATTTTTTCTGCATAATTGATTACAAAATGTACAAAATGTAAAGTCACGCGTCAACGCTTTTTGTTTTCGGCGACAATATGTACAGTAAAAAGTTGCATATATTGTAACCGATATTATGTATTGAAGTATATTTACTGTGAGAGAGAGAGAGAGAGAGAGAGAGAGAGAGAGAGAGAGAGAGAGAGAGAGAGGGTAAAAAAGTTCATATATTTATTCAGCATTACTTGCAATTTGCAAATTTGTAGGAGGAAAAGGTGATTGATTTTGAACAGAAAATTGTGTCTTGCATTTTTGTATATCACTTTGATACATTAATGCCAAAATAAAGTAAACAAGAGGCCCACGGGCCTTATAGGTCACCTGAGTATTCTGCAACAACTTTCAAACAATTAAATTTGGTTCGAGGCCATGGAATTTGCAATTCACAATTTTGAAAGAGGTAATATTGCTTATAATAATTTAGACTTAGCATGCTAACTCTATTTACTTATTACCCAGAGGTAGATCAGAGTAACATTAAGAGAAAATGCACTTCCACTTTAAAACCAGTTCTACACCTCATCCCAAAGGAAACACTGATCCTGGGGCCACATATTTCAAAATTTTGCAAATTTTATCATAAAATGGTTGATTAACACACCAAAGAGCAAATTTCAAAGCATTAATTTATTTTCAGACTTTGATCCCCCCTCACCCCGACCCAGGGAAGGGACGGGGCATAAAAAACAACCATTTTGGTAGGTCACCTTTCTTCATCATGAATATATATATATTTGAATCATAGGCATTAAACACAGGAGCAAAGGAAAGAATTTCAAAGAATAAATGCATTTTCACTATATAACCCAATAGACCCCCGCCCTAACACCAGAACCCCTGACCCTGGGGTCCTAAAATTCACAATTTTGAAAGAGGCACTCTTTATCAACATAACTATTTAATTACATAGTTTATTTAATACCCAGGAGCAGAGAAGAAGACTTTCAAAGAATAAATGCATCTTCACTATATAATCAATATGGCCCCACCCTAACACCAGAACCCCTGACCTTGGGGCAACAAAATTCACAATTTTGAAAGAGGCACTCTTGCTTATCATAACTTAGTACTTAGGTAGTTTTTTTTAATACCCAGAAGTAGAGAAGAAGATTTTCAAAGAATAAATGCATTTTCACTATATAACCAATAGAGCCCCGCCCTAACACCAGAACCCCTGACCCTGGGGTCATAAAATTCACAATTTTGAGAGAGGCACTCTTGCTCATCATAATTATGTGCTTAGTTAGTTTATTTAATACCCAGAAGTAGAGAAGAAGATATTCAAAGAATTAATGCATTTTCACTATATAACCAATAGAACCCTGCCCTAACACCAGAACCCCTGACCCTGGGGCCATGAATTTCACAATTTAAGAAGAGGACTCAATGCTCATTACATTCATGCAAACAGTTTGCCTGCTTGATGTCCAGGAGTAAAGAAGAAGATTTTTAAAGATTGCAATAATTTTAGTGGTTTTTGCCCCACCCCCAGGCCCCAGGGGGGTAGGGACCATGAAATTCACAATTTTTGTTCCCCTTCACCCATAGATGCTGTATACCAAATTTGGTTGAAATTGGTTAAGTGGTTTCAGAGAAGAAGCTGAAAATGTTCAAATGTTAACACACGACGCACGACGCACGACACACGACGACGGACGAAAACGGATAGCAATTGGTCACCTGAGTTACTCAGGTGACCTAAAAATGATGTATCTGTCTTTCCGTTTTCTCATTTGTTTTATTCAGTTGTAGTGAAAGTCTAGAATTTTTTTTCGTTATTTGTATATTTGTGCCGCTATAACTGGCGCTGGGAAGACTTTTTATCTCATCTAACCTGGGAGATCTAATGGCCTTTTCGATCACATTTTGTCTGTTTTCCGTCTGATCATCCACATACGCTACGGAGCATGTAACGTGACCCTGTCTATATCACGTGATCTGCTCATGGACGGAACGGTTTTAGGTATGCATTAAATTTAAATCTGATAAGACTACTTTGAAAAAAAAAATCAACACTGAAACAATATATCATTTCTTATATGGAAGTTATTTAATTATGTCGCGAATTTTTTGACCACCCTCGTAACTATATGTAGTGATAAGAAGTAATACATTGCAAATTACTTAATTTCCTTTATGAAGCCTTAACAATTCTGCATATTGACATATTTCTTTTTGCATAAAACCATTGACCCTGAAATGCTTATTTAAGAGGGAGTCTATGAGAAAACCAGGCAGAGAGCTATTCATGTTAGGTTCTCAATTTCACTTCCCATTATTATATTTATTCATTTCAAGGTATTGTAAGACTTTCTGTAAATTTGGTCAAAATCTGCTGATCAGCATAGTATACATGAGCACTATCTATGTTTGTCATTGGCAAATGGCCATAATGTTATAAAACACATGAAAAATACCAGTTACCTTTACAGCTTTACTTTATTACAAACAAATTTCTGGGAAAAGATATGGTGTATTTTATACACATATGAACAGTGTTAATCATTTCCATTTTAAAACTTTTAAACTTGTCAAGTTTTCAGCGGGAGACAACTCCAATTATCTCAAGATGTTCTAAAAATAGATTTTTCTTGCCTTAATTGTAAGAGCCATAAAACCTGATACACAGTAAAGAGAGAAATTTTTTTTTGTTCCTTGTTCATTAAATAGTGTTTTTACCACAAAATGGAATTTGTCGGATAATAAAATATAACAAAGTTATGGTGAAAACAAACTTTTACCAATTTTTAAATCAACAAGGCCAATTCCAGCCCATATTAGACCTAGTTCTTTAATGTTTCAAATCTAAATATTTATTACATATTTTGTAAAATGAACATAATAATCTACACGTAGTACAATAAATATAAATTTTTCCTCAATTACAACATTCTGAAAAGATTACACTACCATTCTTACAATTATTTTTAAACTTCAAAGGGTTTGGAGGGAGTTAACTTCACTAATATTTTTAAAGATGATTCAATAAAACTAAGTTGTGTTTGTGAAACACTATACGCCCTTTGGCAACAAAGTTCTGAAAAGTTATTTTTAATATATAGGTCAAAGTCAAGGTCACAAGGTCAAAAGTTATGGCAAAGGTTAAAGTTGACAACAGAAAAACAGAAAATCAGACAAACAGATAAACAGACAAAAGGACAAAACAATATACCTTATTTATGGATCCAGGTGCATATAAAGTATTCCATTACAATTTAATGTACACATCTGTATTTTAATATACTTTCAATATCAAATATCTTCAGTAAGTATAGTTGAAGGAGAGTATGATGATTGATATAGTAATGAGCTCCACAGATATGTATGTTTGAAACTTTGGAAGACATCGGGTTGAAATGTACTTATAAGACCAAATTTAATAATTTTAAACTTCTAATAATCCTTTGAAGCATAAGGCCACAATTGCTAAAAAATTAAAACAGGAATTGATGCAATTTTCATACCATAAAACTATTTGTATTATCTTTGTCCTCTAAGACAATATGATTTTGAATGTGAATGGATTTACTTAACCACAATGCAATAAATTCAAGTGCAGGTAATATTATATGCAATTTATTATAAAACTATAAAACTGTATTGGAAGTTTTATAGAAAAAGAAAAAACATTCAAAATTCTACATTAACATTCTGAAAAATTATTTTACCCCAGTGCATGTACCATGTTTGAGAACAAATAAAAAAAAATTTCGAAAAGATGTACTTTCATTCTATAATGTTCTATTGAAAAATACACTACAGTATATCAATGAAATAACATCTCAACAAAATGATATAGTTTGTTGAAACCCTCGAAGTTGATCAATTCCCACTTTAATAAATGTCAATGAATTAAATGTAATTATATGAGGGATACACATCTGAGTACAGGTATTATTTATATAAACAATATAAGTAAAACTACGGTACAAAAATATTGAACTTAATGAGTTTCAGTCAAAGCCATTTATTCTGTAAGTTCATTGGCTATTGCTTGGACAATGTCAAACTGTTCTGCTGCCTGAAGTTTCTTCAGCAGGATTAGCATTGTTGTTAACATCTAAAATTGTAGAAAATTCTTCTCATGATGTATTTAAACTTTATATAAAATTATTAGTAATCACAAAAAGAGAGGCCTATGGGCCACATTGCTCACCCATTGGCCATGAACTTTAGCCATGATGCTGTTCTTAACCAGATCTCCCCCCTTGCAAATTTATATTGTGCACCCCCACCCTACCCCCCTCGGGGGTCATGAATTGAAAAAAATTATCAAAGGCCTGAAGGGCCTGCGAGTTGACTTGCTCGAGTCAATTGAGCTTTTTCATACAACTGGGCACAATACCTTCATATATTCAGTTTATTTTGCATCTTAAGAGATTAAATATTATATGTCTGATCCATGTTCGGTTCATAAATAAAGTATATATTGCTTTTCCTTTATAAATACAGGTTGGCACTAATGGGCTTCCGTATTATTTTGACTGGATTCTAAAGTGAATTTCAGCACATTAGCTGAAGTGGTCAGTGTTATTGAATAATTAGGTTATAGATTCCCACAGCAAATCTGGATTCTAAAAATAGATTTTCAACATACTAGCTGCAGCTAATGAGGGAGCAACAGGTGTTTGTGTTAGGGAGTATTCTAGGTCAATTGTAAATAAACTTCAGATGGGAAGATTAGATCCACCAAACATTTTTGAACATATTCATACGCAGTAATTGTACATCTTACAGGTATTTAATCAAAAATTTCTTTAAAAGCATGAAGGTATAAATAATGTTACAGTATGGAATTTTATACAGTTTTTATCTCTTAAGTCTATACAATCACTCAAACCAAACCATGTTTGCTAGAACTATTATCTTTGGCGTATGGATCACCTTGATGAATGCGTGAAAAATTTTACAGCTCTGAAACTGTTAACCCTCTGAAACGGCTATGTCGACAAGGAGTAGGTCGCTACGCGAGCCAACTCAATAATCTACACATGACAGACAAATTTTAATAGAAAAATGTCACCTGAAAAACTCCGGCGAATTAAAGATACAAGATTTTTTTCTTATTAATGATTTTGCATAGTCTGAAAGTTTAATGAAACCATTCATAAACATCATACCGTTGACTTCAGTGCAATCTCTAAGATTCAGTGGAGGTATTGAGGCAATGGTTGAATAGGTCAGCTGCTCAACTCTGTCTAAGTAAAAAGAAAATATATGGAAATAACAAACAGTATTCAAGTTCAAAAAATACAAATCTGGTGCAGGGCTAATATGGACCTGTATATAATAAGGGACAAATTCAATTTCAATAAGTGTCTTGTTTGGCGTGCATAGTTTAGGAATCATATATATTCAAGACTTGTTTAGGTAAAAAATCAAGTTTAAGTATAATAATTCAAGGATTTTATTTCATAACTTGGTCAGTTTGACAAATTTCTTATTACCTTCATCTATTGGGACGTATAGCTGTAGACGCAACCAAAGTTCCCCGCTCAAAACTGGTGTGATGCCTCAGTCTGGTTTCGTTTTAGATAAACCATGAAAGGGATGTACACAAGATCTCTCGCTCCGTTTCCAGTACAGACCAAGCGCGTATCTGATTCTTGTTTTGCTGTGCTATGTTGCAACCACTATTGAAATAACGACCACTATTGAAATAATTATATCAATAGCGGTTGAGAGTGCATTTCAATAGCAAACATAGTTAGTAACCACTATTGATATACGACCACTATTGAAATAATTATATCAATAGTGGTTGAGAGTGCATTTCAATAGCAAACATAGTTAGTAGCCGCTATTGAAATACAACCACTATTGAAACACGACCACTATCTAATGCTATCTCACCCACTATTGAAATAATTATTTCAATAGTGGTCGTATTTCAATAGTGGTTACTCACTATGTTTGCTATTGAAATGCACTCTCAACCACTATTGACTATTGATATAATTATTTCAATAGTGGTCGTTATTTCAATAGTGGTTGCAACAGTGCTAATTTGATTACATCGATACCCGCTCTGGATAGAATTAAGTAACTTTCGGGCAGATCTATACCCTTAGAATTAAGAGTCCAAATATTTGAGGTGGTGAAAGGTTTGTTTAACTCAGCCGTTCAATAATATATCGCCGTTTCTTCACAATCTTAACCAAAATCACACATACCCGACGACATCGCTGCCATTTTCCCTCCATGTAAATAATGACTTTTTTACTCTTCATGCACTGAAGAGTTCGACAAGATCGATAATTCGGTAAAAAATAAAGAGATTCAAAAGTGTATATCTCGAAATTCATTGTAAATCCAAGAAATTCCTTGAAATATGTTGTCTAAAATAAGTAATTAAATCAGATAGATAATTATAAACAAAAGTTCATCCGTTGTATCAAACACAGCACTGCGTTTCTCATAGAGATATAAAAAGTCAAGTGAATTTTCTCTTATAAAACCTTTTGAATTTTCCAAATTAATAAGATCTGGTAAACAAAATTCAACTATAAACAAAAAGTTATACTTATTAATTCAACATAAAACACAAAATTTTTCAAAATCATTGATTCATTTATTTTTTTGAAGGGCTTATAAAAGTGCTATTTTTCCTTGAAAATCCAGCCCACCAGTGGGCTATAAATAGATTCGGGGCTATCTCGATTAGGAGGACACCTTTGTTAAAAAAAATTTCATAATAGTTATATAGGTCCATTCTCTTCAAAATTATGTATTTAAAATCATCTTTTTAAAATGTGACTTGTGTAACAAATTTTTAATTTTGCATGATTTTCTCGTAGACTCGCTCTTAATATATTTTGACATTATTATTATACTAATGAACAATTAAGGATGACATAAACGTAGAAAGAAAAGAAATAAATTCCATGAAGATAGTGAAAAAAGTAAAGTTTATGTGTATAGTTGACTCATCATACTATTACTATTTTTACTTTCCAACAGACATCTTACTGATCTATTTGTCATGTCAATGACCTCTAAGTATTTCTTAAAAAAAATCTGGAAAATCTCTATTTTTTTACGATTCAAACACAAAACATAAACTGTTTATCTTACATACTTTGATTACAGTCGTCCCCTTGCCAGCCGTTTGAACAAATTCCGCTTGAACACTATTTTTTAGTTTTATTTCAGATTTTATTTTTGAAAATGTACACAATGAATAAATTGTAATATACACTAAGCGACATATAATTTAATAACTGTTTACACATTAATTTTATTCATAATTCGGCTTCATTTTGTTGAGATTTATTGATACGGATAATAGTAGCTAATTAATGATTAAATGGGTTTCCTTGGCCAATAATTACATAATTTTTTACAATTATTTTCAATATTAAAGTCACATCAGTGGCAAAGTGCAGTATTCTTAATTTTTTTTTACGAATATGGAGTGTTAAGGCGGTTTCTCGAAATTCTGTGATAGTACAATAGCCGTGAGTTGGATTTTTGATAGTACTCAGAAATGTTAAGGAATGATAAGTTCCACAAATGCGTTAATTTATCAATATGAATTTGCATTATCAATTATACATAAATGTATACATATACTGCACAAAAACAATTTAATAGGGCATAGCTCTAAGTAAAATGTATGTATCAACAAGGATTACTAAACATCGGTATGTAATGGTTTGTATCAAACTAATAAAGAAAAAATAAGTTATAAAATCACTTTACCTGTTATCCTGATGTCACAAATGGGCAGTCGATCAATTATTTTCGACAAAATTTTCAATACAATAAAACGCCCTTGATCCACGCATTTTCTTTCTACATCAAATCTTCTATATGCTGCGGTCAAGTATTCTGAATCACACAGAGATCCAACCTCCACAGAACTTGAATGACTTACATAAATTGATAATCGTATCACATAGTCGAGAAACCATGAATCTGAATCTAAAATTGAAAAAAAAATAAATAAATAACGAATTTAGTGTTTTCACACCAATTCTTCCACTGTATACAACATTAAATTGTTTTAAGATTTCCGTTCGTCCGATCATGACACAGCTGCAGATCTGTAGCGATATGGTTTTATATATTTGTCTTTGACCATAACGCTACAGATACAGTAATGCAAAAAAGTGCAATTAACGGCGCGAATTTTTTTTGCACACTTTTGGGGAGAATTTCTCCACTTTCCAGCATCGGTCAATCAACTACCTCTCACACCCTAATTCTAGGCAAATTATTTAACTAATATGTATATTTCATCCATCTACCTACCCTTTATAGTCGTCTCTACAAGTCATTAACTCGCGTGATTAAAATCATATGTTTGATTGCTGAAAATTCACTTCAAGCGAGTTTATTGCCTTTAGAGACTACAAAAAAGGGTTGAGAGGTGAATAAATTATACATATATTGGCTATAGAATGTGTATAAATTTGGGAGTGAAAGGTAATTGATTGACCAAACTAGAAAGTTGAGAAATTCTCCCCAAAAGTGCGCAAAAAACCCACCTTTTTTGCATTACGGATCTGTAGCGTTATGGTCAAAGACAATTATATATAAAATCATGACGCTACAGATCTGCAGCTAATCATGACAAGGAGCATACATCGTGAAGAACTGCTGGACAGAAGATGCTTCTTTCTATTCGGCACCTGATTACTTTTTTTGCCCTACTCCCACATTACATAGTTTCATTAAACTAACCAGCTTGATAACATGTACTGTTCATCAACTCTGCATTTCTTGTAAGCATCACAAATGGCATTTGTCGGCTTTGCCACACCTGTGATATCGTGATTTTCACAATAGAGTGATCTCTCTTTGATTTTTTTTTACCCATTTAAGGAGATATTTTTACCACTGCATCTCATTCTACACATGAAATATTTAATTTGAAGAATTTTGTAAGTTGAATGACTTTCTGAGCTTCTGTGCATATAACTTTTCGTGTACAAAATAATAATTGCACCAACACTGTGAAATGAGTTAGTTTTTATTGTTTAGAGAATATTAAAAAAACATTCAATATAAATATTCATAACAAGCTTGTTACCAAGAGAGACAGCAACTTCGTAGAAACTCTGCACGACTGTGAAGTCAAAATTCAATTGCAATGTCGATCTGTAGAAATGTAGACATGTAGAAGCATTCCCATCTATGGTATTTTCCGCTCCATTGCCTGGTCGTCCCTCTTCAGTATAAACAAGTATCTTGCTATTTTCTAATAAATTATCTGCAAAGAAATGTCTGAACTACTATAATTTATGTTCCAAACTTTCGCAAAAGTGGGGGGACAAACAATCGAATTCGTCTGTCTGTCAATAAACTCATAATTTGAATGAGAACATATTACAGAACTTGTTTGTTTCACAAGTACATTATCCGTGTAAAAACCTTTCCAAATATGATTTTTTACACTGCAATTTAAGGATTTTAACATTGCTTTAAATTAGTCATAATATTTTGACTTTTCCGCTTTATTAGTGTTACATGATTATAAAAAAATCTTAATTCGCCGAATTTTGGTCCATGTGCTGCCTTAACATACCCGCGAATGTGCTGAATTCGATATATTGTACCGGTATGAGAAATATAAATTAACAGAAATTATTATAGTGTCAAAGCAGTGTATTTACAATTTTTGTTTTTATGACGTGACAAACTAGTCCAATTTTAAATCCTTTTTCAGAAAATGGACAAAATGAACAAAATTTCTACAATTTTAGCTTTAAAATCTATAGAGCACAAGTTTGTTGAGGAACAGTATTGACATATTTCATTGATATCATTCTACACATTATATCAAAAAATTGAAAGTCTTGCTATAATCAAGATGGTTGGTTTGGTTATAAATTTCTGTATTTAAGGAATCACTGTATACGGTAGTCAGTCGGCTATGTCAGGCCATTAACAAAAGTGGGAAACACGAAGTTATTTGCATAACGGGCCTTACATTTCCATTTTTAATTTAAATAACAATGATCTTAAGATAAATTAGAATACTTGTACCGTCGAATTTAGAAGATTTAAATGCATGGGGCATTTCATTTTCTTTTCCGTTGCCTCGACCGATAACGTCAAATTTCACTATTAAAAATATTCCAATAAAACTCAAACCAAATTTAATGATTATTCAGTTACTGTAGTCAAATATTAACATTTTTAGAGTAAACAACAAAAGAATCTTAATTATGACCAAAGCAATCTTGTTAATTTTGATTTTAAATGTGACCTAGATTTAGGTTGTTGGAGGCACGAACACGTGTATAGGCCTTAGGACACATCTCCGAAGCCATATTGAAAGCAATGTTACAGTTGATGAAACGGGAGTTAGTCAGCATGGTAAGGAAACAGATTTGTGTGGAAGTCAAAATAACAGAGGAACATAAGTTGCTTAAGGAGTCGTATGGTAATGACTGTGGGGCGATGTCTATATCAGATGATAAAATGCAGATCTATGTAGCAATGCCGATTTATCCACGTGGTTTAGATGGACTGTCGACCATGTTTATGGAAGTGGCGTTCTTGTCTTTTTTACAAGTATTACACAGGTCAGATATAACACTGCTATGTTTTATTTTGATCAACACACTAGTTAAATTTTCTTTTCAATATTTGCTGTCATACAA